GGTGTCTTACATTCCAAACCTGTAACTAAACTAAAACAAGCTTTTATTCCCTGCATTTGGTTCTCGCTTCTGTATATTCCACTAGAAATCATGCAAAAACTAGTGTTGAGTTTCATTAAAAAGGTATTAGTTTTAAGTGTTTTTCCACTGTGTTTATACATATTACTTAGTACTTTGTCTGCTCCTTTAAAATGCCATGATGAGAACAAAGACATGTTCAAGCAGCTAGGGTTAAAGTGGATAATTTCAGGAATCCTAATACAATTCACTGGCTCTTCGTATTTTCATCCCTATTCTGCTTCACGTGACCATGGTCTGGGGGCGAGGCTGTCACACACACAATAAATAGTCTGCTAGAATTTAGTAGCACAACTGAAGAACTTGCTTCCTGTTTTTGTGATTTTCTTCCAGAGTCATACATTTATTAACTGTTACATCATGGAATAAGGGATTTGAATATTTTGGATGAAGAAATTTCCTGAGACAATGTCCTTGACAACAAAAATGTGGCTGCCAAAAATCCTCATCATGTGATTCATAAATCCCAAAATAATGATTTCCAGTTTTTGACCATGCAGAGGAGCAAAGTGTTAACATAATCGGATGGCAGCTGATTTAACACTGACTTGTGGCTGCAAATTACATCTTAAAGATCAAAGAGAAAACACTGCTTCAGGCAACAGTTTGTTTTAAAGACAAAGTTAACATGCAGGAAATCCGCATGGGTCTGACCAGCAAAAACTCAGTAATCCAAAGACTAATAATAGAACGTTACAAAAAAATTGTGGGATCAAGATCAGATTGGTGTTTATAAAGATGTACAGTGGATATAAGAAATCTACATTGTACATGACTCTACATGACTTTCTACATGACATACTGCTGTAATAAATGCAAGTTGATAGAGAATTATTCACAAAGACTTACTGCTGTAATAAATACAAAAGGTGCTTCCACAAAGTATTAGTTGGGAAGGGGGGGATTGGGGGGTGTGCACACTTATGCAACCAGGGTGTTGTAGGTTTTTTAATTTAAATTTCCTAATAATTATCTCTTTGTTTTTCTCCTGAATTTTGTTGGTTGCAAGGTCACATTAAAGATGGAAAAATGTCTGACATGATTTATCTTGATTTCCGGTTTTACATCACAAAAACCTGCAATTTCAATAAGGGTGTGTAGACTTTTTATATCCACTGTACCTTACGTCAACCATTAAAACGCCCCAGTTGAAAATGTGTTAGACTTCAACATTTGTTTTAATAGAAGGTAAGGTCCTGAGTCCTGGGACCATTATCCACGTTTGTACAACAACGAGAACATATTTTTATTTTTTAATATATGAGATAAGGAGTTGCAGCACAAAGCTCGTAACTCAGGGTGCAGGAAATGCCTGGAGGCCTGTTAATTCAAATCCATCTAGACCCTGATGTCCAGAGTTCACTGGCTTTGGCTAGGATAACTTCATTAACCTCCTCGGGGGGTATTTGTAGCTAGCTGTGCAATATTTGGGTGAGGCAAGTTTGAAGGCTAGTTTGGGGCTTTCTGAGCTTGAAACCACTTTTATTTGGCCTGTTGCCAGCTCACTGAGGGCAGCATCCGTCATGCTATAGTTTTCACACTGTGGTCATTTCATTTTAAAGAAGTGGGTGCCTCCACAGTCTACGTTACACAGACAACACATGGTTTAGTCAGACAAGCTGGTTCACAGCCCAGGTCAAGTACACACATTTGAGAAGGAAGGGTATGAAAGTAAAAATTGTGTTGATTTCAACTGAAAAAGAAAAGAAAATGTTTTGGAAGTCTGGTGTTCATCAGAAGGTATCCCTGCATCATGCTTCCTGTGCATCACTACCTGCTGAGAGTTTGAGCACATGCAGTAAAAGGGCTGTCAGTACATCAGAAACTATGGCTGAGTACAAGGTTTCATAGGTGAGGTTGTGACTTGTTGTGAGGAGAGTCATCACCTAAGGAAATGCTGTAATAAGAAATTGTTTTGGAAATAAAGTGGTAATCAAGTTGGGCAACTGGAGTTGGGATATGAGCGGTCTCTGAACTGAGCAACTGCTTGGTGAAACAAAGGAGACTAGAAACAACATGTGAGATGCATGCGATATCTGTGTGATAATACACCCACTCATTTTTCTCACAATGTCAGGTAGGTTAACTGATGTCAACACCCCCAAATATCACAGGGCTGATGATGATTACTAGTGTGATTCAGGGGATGTAGCAGTTAATTTGAATGCTTCTTTCGTCATGCAATCAGGTTATGAAATGTTATTCTCTTTGCCTGATAACACACTTCTGCCCATCAATTGTTGTATAGTACCTGAACGACATCAACACAAGAATCAAGGTAAATAGATCCTTTGGTATCCTTGCAGTTTTTCTCATCCTTGTACGAACTCAGAGTGTACGAGCCATCCGGGAGCTGGGTCAAGTAGAAGTATCTTCTCTTGAACGCCTAAAAAAGCAAACAGGTGAAGTCAGCTCTTGGAAAATCAATTTCCTGTTGACTCAGTCATTGGATTTGTTTCAGAATCAGGTTTGGGAGCAAGAGGCATTGTGCACAGGACCAAGAGGAACACTAACAATTCCAGAATAGGGGTGAAATTAAGCTTTGCAGCAGGTTCTCTGATTCAGAAGCCAATAAAACAAACGAAGAAAAAAGCATTAACAATAGTCACTTAACTACGTCTAATTTTTAAAACATTTACTGTATCACCTATTGCATACTCTTATAAAGCACAGATTGGTGATCCGCACGATTGTTTTCCACAGTGTAATGCAGCATAATAAAGGTGCCTCTAAATCTCATATTAAGTGTCACCCTCAGTTTACTGTCTGCGATCTACATTCTTATTACAGAGTTTATTTAATGTATAAAATATCAAGAGGGCACATAAGGTTTTTCCCACATTTTATAATGTCACTGCCCTAGGAAAGCAACAAATGGGCAGGCTAAATTGTAAATACAGATATCACTCTAAATATGACTAAATCCAGTCATATACAGTAACTTATAATGTTTATTTTTACTGACATGTGAAGTAAATAGAAAAACTGTCGAGGAGCTACTCTTGTGGTTAGTAACCTAAAGCTTTTCCTGTTTTAAAGCAACTCCATTTATCAGCTGGAAAAGTCATTTAAATGGAAAAATAGAAAACTTGAATTCAAAAGCAAATACGAGATGCTTATATCATTTCCAACAACCCTCAAAGATATTTCCTGATAAAGAGATTTTTAGTACTCTTAATTTTATTAGCACTCTTGTTTCTTTTATTTGAGTTAATCGTATCTAACACAATAATGATAAGTGGAGTTTTTAACTAAAGTTCATCAGGGGTGACAACCAAGACTCTCAGTCTACCGAAGCAAATAAAGATTTTTAAAATGCATTGAATTTTCGGGTGTTATTCCTCATAAAAAATCATCCTACTTATGCTTATACTGCTGTAGTAAACACGAATGTTGGGTCTTACAGAAATTAAATTTGGGATGGGGGATTTGATTCCAGAGTGCATTTCATAATGGAATTTCTGATTTCTTCATGCAAATTCGCAACGGAATCTTTGGAGGCAGACAGCTGAATGAAGTCTCTGGCACAGTGGTAAAAATATGTACTGGTACATCCCAGCCAAGTGAAAGAAGATACAAAAGCAATACCTTCTATTTCAGCTTGCCTGCTTAAAAAGGTATCTTTGTACAGCTCCAGGAAACATTTCCATTTGAAAATAAGAACAACCTACTCTCATAATGTAACCAGATACAAACCAATTGCAATCGTTACATTGATATGTTAATACTAGCATTAGCAATTACCAGCAACTTAATAGTATTTCAAAGTTGTGTTTTCTACTGGAAACCAAAAGAAGCCAATACAAAGTCTCAACTTCCACTGCCGAAATGAGAACTTTGTACCACATTATGAATTAAGAATTTGTACCCTAGGACTAAATGCATCAACACAAATTGCATAGAAATCCAGCTAAAGTTTTTTTTTTCCTTACACATCCAGGCAAGACTCCCAATACACCCAAAAAATGCAATATGGATTTTGGAATCATTTCAATTTCCTATGAAATGAGTGAACAGGGTCTTCTTTGGGATTGTTGACTGAGTTTTGAATGGTTTTGAATGGTACTGTACAGTATGTGCATGACCTGAGTGAGCAGGGCAGACCAGCCTACTAATAAACTCTCAACAGCACAACACAGACACCCACTTCCCCTAACCCTGTTAACAGAATCAGACAGATTTAAATGGTTCTTTTAAGAACTGTACTCGCTACCATCATGGATAAATGTACACTGTACTGTATGTTGTTATCAAATATTTTGTCTGCCAAGTTGAGTGCACTGTAAACATGAGTTCTGCTGCTTTGACCTGCACGGAACTGAGAACTGGCACTTAGATTTTGAAGACTGAACAGAAGGAGTAGGGGGGTCAGTTAATATGGGGACAACACATGTTCATCCAGTCATACCAATATAAACAGCAATGAGGCAGAATGTAAGGCACTAGGGGAAACACGGAATATGAAATGCCTATAAGGAAAGAGCAGATGTTAATGATTATTCATCTTTTCATCTAGCAAAAAAAACAATAAAAAGGGAAAACAGCAAAATGGGATACAGAGAAAAATGTACAGCCAAGGCTCTATGCACAAGGCCTCACTTAGTGGTGTGAACAGCTTTGATGTCCTCACTATAAAAAGCAGACTACTGCTGTAGAAAGAGGCAAGCAGAGCGACTCCTTTCTTGCAATGACTACTACAAGCTCAGAGGCCTTGAACAGAAAACGTTGGGAGATGGCAATCCAATTGACAAAATCTTTAACAGTGTTAAAATACCTATTTAGGACATTTTGAGGAAAAAAAAGAACAGACAAATTAAAACCTGGCACAATTGTGCTGTTGTTTAAAATTGAACATGGTTGCAAATGTTTGGAACAAGCTACAGCACACAGACATCCAGTAGAAGCTCATTAGTAGTGTTCTTCCAGCAAGTGATCAAGAAAATATTACGCAAATGTACCTAATGAGACAAGCGGTCTCCTGCTAGCACGTTTTCTTTAATCCTTATGAGCAAGGCAAATTAAGAAATATCTTCATCTATATTTGCCCTCATTAAGATTTTAAATTGCAGTGCTGTAACATCTGTGTCTTGTGTCCTTCACTTACCCTCATGGAAACAGAGAGGCTACTGTTCATGTTCGCTTTGGAGAGCCATCCCTGCTTCACGATCTCTCTTTTCTGAGAACATAGCGAAGAGGAGTCCTGGCACAACACAGAGAAAAAAAGTCAAGATCCTGCTGCACAAACAGAGAGGTCCAGTACAATTGCCCTGCATTTACTGCACACAATCTCCACCACACAGATAAGAATCTTGTAGAAATGTGCTCTATCAAAACTTCAACTTACCAGCCAACAGTTAATTCCATATGTGCAGAATTCTGTACCTCAGATAGTGATAGACACTGCTGAGGGGCTGGAGTGTTAAGTTAGTCGTTGCCTGAGATACTCTGAATCTATGGACCTCATGATGACATTCTCGGAACATTGAAACAGAGAGAATTAAGTTGCAGGCTCTATCCAAGCAAATCAAACAATCGTTACAGAAGTCACTATCATAGCCTACCACATTAAAGTGGTTCTGCAATTCTCTTAACATATTTATGGTCTTGTATCATTTAGCTATCAACTTGGATTTAGAGGTGTACGTCAATAAAAGATCAGGTGGTAATATACAGTACAAAGAATTCTTACTATCTAGAAGGGTTCTCTATAAGGTAACTATTTTGGGCTTATTTAGTGGGCTCAACTCTGCCTCACCACTGTTTATATTTTTATACTTTTTAGTATTGTTTCCACTTCTGACACCAGTTTTCCACTGGGGAAGATATGAACCAGTAGATTCATCTATGATGGTGTGGGCAGTATGCCCAGAAAGGCCAAAATTTAGAACCACAGGAAAGTGTCACAATTTCCTGCATTATTATTAAAAATAGCACTACTTTCTTGAAGTTACCACTTCACAGTTACTAAGAAACAAGGAAATTCCTGAACCCTCAACCCATAGACATTAAGTCATCTCAATGTTGACAGCACAGCAGTTAGAACATATCCCAAATATTATAAGTTACAGCGGATTATGTTGCAGAAGCAGTACTGCTATTGTATGCTACTTTATAAGTTCTCAAAGCTGACAGGGAAAGTTATTTAAATTTTAACAAGATCAGTTTAAGTGAAGTTTGCCAGTTACACAATACTGAGGTGTTAACTCATTTAACATTTAAAATGTGAAATGATAACAGTTTTAAAGTATTTCAATTTTCTTTATAACAGAATAAGGCACAAAATACAACATTTTTCAAATATATTGATATCGTAATACAACCAGAGATTATAGATGCTAAATTTATATATAGTTATTTAGATTTGTGCCTATTTTTACTATAACAAGGTTCTTCTCTGTACTAAACTGACAATCTCACTGTGATATCATCAGCATATTAAACCCATGATAACTGCAGTCCTTCCAGCATATCTCTTTAACGCTCTGAGGTCCTTCTCTTTTGTGTTATTTTCATTCAGTTCATTCATTTAATGAATATCTTCATTAATCACTGTTTTTAATGTGATCAGGCCCTGGATAATTCTCCCCAATTAAGCCCTCTCACCCAATCACTCTTCATTTCACTACACCGAACACCATCTTTATTAATCACTATCACAATCAGGTACTGGAGTATTCCATCCAAATCACTACGTGTCACCCAATCATAATTTACACGTAAGCACTTCAGTAATCATCGAACAACCTCTCAATCACATAAGAAGTTGTGCCTTGTATTTCAAATAAAGTTATTCAGTGTAATTCATTTATCTTTTTCAACAAGAATTACGATATCAAGTTTGTTGAACTATGGATTTATAAATTATGACCTTTTTTGCATTTCTTTATTTACTGAAAACGTACTGATCTAAGTAACTGGGTGCTAAGATGAACTAGTGTTAGTGAATTTACTGACTAAAGACACAAAATAAATGCCTGAATCTGTTGGATAATCTGTTGCCTAAGGCAGTAATGAACTATTTGTGCAGGAACAGCAGAAGGGCACGTCACTTGAGTTCTGTTCTAAAATGGATGAAGCATCCAATTTGGAATAAGCTATTTAGGAGATATGAAGGGGGGCCATTGTCTCAGAAGCACTGACGCAGAAAATAAGTACAAACTGATTTTTCTCTTTCTGCTTGGAGAACTGCCCCTTCCGACTGAATCATATAATCTAATTCCAGTGTTCAGCTCAGTCATACAGGCCTGAATATTCCCCTTACTCCTCAGAGTACTGTCCAGTCTCTAGGGCTCACCTGTTTTTCTTTCCAAGTGACAAACCAGGGTGATTGCATTACAGTAGGTAATGATTTTTGTTTACTGCTGACTTGCAGACCCCTTTTCATTGAGAGTTTGTGGAAAAGGAGCCTGTTTTTCTTTAGGTCTTGACATTATAACGTTGCAAGGCTTGACACAGCGGCCCTTTTGAGATGCACTGCCTCAAGGGTTTTGATTTTTTGTTTGTGAACTCAAATGTTTTACAAAAGGATAATACATTAAGGAAGCTTTTTTTAAACTGCACTGAGGAATTGTTTCACAACTCTGAGCATTAGAAAGACGTCATTGCTCCCGATGAAGAAATGCTTTTTTTTTAGCCTTTGTCTGTTCAAAGGCAGATAAATTAAATGGCAAATGATGTTGGAAAAAGACTACGGACATGTGATGAGATGAGATTTGCACTGGACAAGATACAAATGCTACACTGTTTGGCTCTAAGTGTTTCCTTCTCCTCCTCTGGGGAAGTTACATAACAAAGGCTACTGATATTCAGTACTTTGCTGTCAAGGACATTTGTAAGCAGCATCAAACTGGACACTCCCTTGAGACAGTGACCCTTGCATCATCTGAAGAGCCATTGTGCATTCACAGCTCATCTTCTGGTTTAAATCAATTCATGACCTCAACCCTCTGTTTCCCTGGCACACCAACATTGTAAAATTTACTTACAGTATGCAAACTTCATGGCACTTGGCCTAAAAGGTTGCCAAACCCTAGTTCAGACAGTATATAAAATTTATTTTACTTTCAAGCTATGTAGGTTGGCAATTAGATTAAAAAGTGATGAGATGAAATACATTTTATTCTTGTTATTTTCCTTAAGAAATGGACCACTGTGACCAAATGTGCCATTGGAAGAGGGTTAATCTTCTTCGTTTTTAATTTTTTGTGCTTGAGGTCGTTTGACCTTGAGGCCCGTGTGCAGTCACACGAGTTTCTTGGGATATTTTCCTCTCACTTATTCCCAGGGATGTTGTACACTGTAGTATTTTCCTATAACAAGGCTGCATTTTATTTCTATAATTAAATTTATCCTACACAGAAGTCAAGCAGTGCTATTTTTAGCTGCCCAGCTCATATTTCAACTAACAGCCCAGTGCTTAGACCACATCGTTCTGCACAGTTTTACAAGATTTTCCTGGTCTGCAGGAACAGACGTTTCTAAACTTAACAGCCAAAAAAACTGAGAGCAGCATATTGCAGATAAACGACATTTTCCATCACATTGAAGAGAACACCCCTGCTGTAAAGGGTAAGAAGGACACACAATGTTTAACAGTCAAATGAACACAAGGGTAACAAAATAAACAGTTGACATCCCTAGAGAAGAATTTCTTCATTCAGTGATTTGATCTCCACTAGCAGATCAGTTCAAGGTCAGCACAAACATGTGCATAATCAAAGGAAATTAAAGTACCTTTCCATATATTGTCCTTCACCATAAACAGGGCTACAACATTCCAATCCATTGTTAGTAAGCAACTAAGGGTCCACTTCCATTTTGGCACAAATTGAGGGTAAAATTACTATAGCTGCAGGCTATTTCTGGAGACCTGTTAAGAGTCACTATAAGGTGAGTTTATACAGTAGCAGCATCTGATGGCATTCAGTAAATTGCAGACAATACACTTTGTCCAGTAAAATTCATAACAGGATAAATGGATCCTAATATAAGTCATTTTGGATAAAAGCGTTGGCAAAATATCTAAATACTTTGAAACGTGCTTATTTTGTTTGAAATGCATTCCAAATGTTGGTATCAAAAGAAACAATGTGATTGCGTGCATGTATATTAAAAAGATTACTTAGATTTACTTATGTTCTCACAAACTTCAAATACTTTATCCAAATTTAATGTTTTAGATTTGACATGATTCTTAACATTTGGTTTTATGACAAGTAAAAAAAGATCAAATATTTAATAAACAACAAAAGAGTTCATAGGTCTTACTGTAAGCTAATACTGCTAGTTTTTAGTTCTTATTTCAAAAATAATAAAAGATTATTTATGGAAGGGACAGAAACTGGACTATACCCTTTTACTTTCTTTGATTTCTTACTTCTAAAAACTGTTTTCTTCAGATGAAGTAACTAAATGGATAAAGCCACTAAGTGTGATGAAGATGATCTTACAGTGATGCCTTTCTAAAATCTAATGTATTTCACATTTAATCTGCCTACCTCATCTTTTGTATCTTCATCAATTTCAAAGACGTGGGTTGGTAGTTTTTCTGTCTTGAAGCCTTTGCTGTGAGGAAACAACAACAACAGAAAGCTGGTTTAGAGCCACGAAAAGAGATTAGGATGTGAAGCTTGATAGTGGAATCTTATCACTTACCAGGGAAGCATCCTGAAATCTCCTGAATAAGCCTCGTATTTGTAGTTGATAACATGCCAATCCATGTTGTACACCTTTATACACTGTAAATCAAGCAAATCTCTGTTAGCAAGTTCAGATTCACCCTGGCAGTAGAACAATCTTAAAGCACCCGTTGTTCAACAAGAGACCTAAGTAGTAGTATGCATAACTTGCAATTGAATTACTTTATGTGGTGCATATTCTGGATGGTACAGTGGTGCAGTGGCCATCATACAGTAGCTGTCTTGCAGAGATGGAACATTCAACTCCTCTGGGTTTTCTTTGGATGCTCCAGTTTCCTTCCACAGTCTAAAGACATACTGGTACTGTAGGTTAATTTGCTACTCAGACACATACGGTACCTACACCTACGCCCAGGGAACATTTTCTGTGTGTTTGTCCTACAATGGGCTGATGGGACTGATGTCCCATCCAGAGTGTATGCTGCCTTGCGGCTGTTGTTTGCCAGGATAGGCTTGGGTTCCTCTGTTACACCAAATTGAAATAAGTGGTTAGAAAATGGATGGATGAATAGTGCATATTTTTCATCTTTCATCTGTGTGGCTGCTTATGGCATTTCTCATCTTAATGATTTCATTCACTTCTGAGCAAGCATTGCCAGGAAGTACAAAAAAGGAAAGCAGTGGTCAGTGTAGGGTTTTAATTAAAGGTTAAGGAATGTAGTTGAACATAGCTACGGTCGACATGTTTGCCTGCAGTGGAAGTTTAAATAAAACGCCCTCCCTAGGCCTATACTGTACGTATGCACAAGAGAATAGCTCTGGTCGGGTGTGCTACTTAGAATTCAAATTCATCTTAAAATGTGCTGAAAGTATGCAGAGTGAACTATGTTGTCTATATATCATTGCTTTGAATCTGGGCTTATGTTATAAACCAGGTACAGTATGGTCTGGAAAACCCAAGAAGTGAAGTACAGTTAGCTAAACACCTCTGGAAGCAAACAGTCTTGGGTCAGGAAGGGTATGCTTGGCTTTCTTCAGACTACCAGGAGCTTCAGTGTTTTAAAAAAGACCCATATCACTGCACTAAATCAGCAGGGACACCGTGGATCTTGCGGTATACAGAATGTGTGCATTTCAGAAAAAAGCACACACTATTCCCAGTACTACTCCCTCCTCCAAGAAGCAGTGACAGGAACCAATTAACTATTTACCAATTCCAAATTAAGAAAGCACCAAAAAATAAAAAAGAAGAAACATTTGAATTTTCAAAAAATGCTCAAATTGCCAGCTACAACTTTGTGTGATAAACACATTTCATAAATACACTTCACCAAATGAACTGCAAAAACCTTAACTGAAAAGACATACCTCTTTGGCAAACAAGTCCCTGGCTTCTTTCTCAGCATTCTGAGGCACAGAGGAATGTACAGTTCTTCTCTGTCGAGGAATTGATGACTCCTATGTAAATCAGGAGGATATTTCAGTTGTCAAGCTTTCAAAAACATAATATCAACCATATTAAGCACCTGATTTTACTACAGTATAATTACCTACACACTTTGGCTGAAGACAATATTGAAAAATCAGGTCCTAAAGTCTTATACTGTATATGGACCACTTTAAACACCTTAACCTTTGGCCACAAAAGACACTGCACATGCATTTCTGGTTTAAAGTAAAGTATTGCTTGTAGTAAGAACCATGAGCTCCCCAGGTGCAGAAGACGATGGGTTTTCTGGGTCTATTTAAATATTAACAGCTTAAGACTTGAAGGAAAGGATAAATCACCACTTCAGTGAAGAAATATATGACCTCTCCATAGCTCTAAATGTGTTGCAGACTCAGGTGTACTAAATGACCTACTGGATTGTATCCTCTGAGGACCTGAAATAGATATAACATATATTTTAAGGTACAAATGGACACATTTGAGATGTGAAAATGTACTTTATTTTCACCCCACCACAAACAAATTCTGTCTCTGCACACACATATGAACATAAATATAGGCAGACCAAAGGTGGATAAAAAATACAAGGTGTATCAAACAGGTCAGTGACATACCACATGATCACCCAAAGGCTTGATACTACTAACTACTGCATCCCCTGCTAAAATTAGGTGCGTTACCTAGACAGCTGCTTGAGTATCAGACTTGGGTCAATGCAAACGTACACACAGACTTATTAACAGGAAGAACGAGGAGCATACCGAGACATCATCAACCGGGCACAGCAGAAGGTCTCTGTGTGGATCACTATGGATCTGCGCTTTCCTTTGGAAGACAACATTCTCGTAATCCAGGGGCTCAATAATCTTTGGCTTCTCCTGTTGAAAAATGGAAATGTGAAAAAGATCCAAAATGTTAAAAGTTGATCAAGTCTAATTTTTAAGGAGCAAAAGGTAGACCTAGTGCATGATATTCGCCCAAGAAAACTTCCATTTGTTCAATGATTGGTTTGGTCTTTTGTAAAATCCCACCAGTTAAGTTTAGAACACTGAATGGATCAACCCACATGTAATCTGTACGTACATGTAAATACTTTGAGATCCTTTGGGATAAGAAGCTCTAGATATACTGAAGGAATGAAAATAACTAATTGTCAAGCTTAGATCAATATACTCTATTATGCTCAATTACATATCAGACACAATATATGTCTCATGTAAAAGCATACAGCATGGTGGGCATCAAGTGGGCATTGGACTGTAGTCAGCCCCAGTGCAATGTCACACAGTCTAAACAAGCTTCAGTCCTTCTTTGTTACTATTCACCTGACAGGTGGGATGAGAAGACTCCAGAACACAGCAGAAGCAAGTCACCATAATGGACTCATGAACTATGAACTGCCTTAGCAGACCCCCGAGAAAAAAGAAGGAATTATCCAATCGTTTTATTCTACAACAATGCAATATCTGCATGTGCTTCTGCATTAGGCCCTACAGTATGTCATCATTTATATCCAGTCCAAAGCTTCTCATTTTAACTGTTACAGGGTGCAATACAAGTTGAGATATTTGAATACCATATGATAATAAGAATATTGTTACAATTATCTAAATATGCATCTGTTCACTTAGTGCTCAATGATCTTCAAGAAGGAAGAAGCAGAAGGTGTGCCAACAGTTTCAGAATTGTGGTCTCTGATTATTGGAATATTCGAATTGTGCCCCTGTCGTAAAATACAGTACAATACGGTACGATAATGCAGCACAGATGTGGTGGATGTACGTGAAGGTCTTTATTGACATGTTACTGAACATAAGAAAAGTTATAACTAGCTTGTCTGGTAGTCAGTAGCTTAGTGATCGAAGGATCTCATCCACCCAGTAAGCCAAGGTACCAGGTATCAAATATCAAGTTTTCAACCATACAGTTGTGTGGCTGTTGCATACTCCCTTTGTGTAAAGAACTGCCTCCTGAAAACTAATGCATTAAGCAGAGTCCTGAGAACCTGAAACGTGAGAGCAGTATGCAGCAAAGTGTGCAGAGGCCAGGGGAGAGTGGGATATGTACAGTAGGGAGTTATGCTATTCAGACATAAATGCAAGCTGAACAGCATTTTAAGCACTACTGTCCAGAAACTATAAAAAGATTAATCGTCTTAGCTTACTGTGGCTGATGACTTTTAGAGAAATCTAGTGGGAGTATTTTATGCTTAAACTATAAAAAGCTGTCAGCGTTTTAATAAACATAGTGGTATTTTTATTTATTACTACAACTACAGTTTCTGGGAACTGTGCTCTTTGCAGGACTGGCCCTATTGTGCCAGGCGTACTGTGGCGTGTCCTCAGAGCAAGATATGAATGGACCAGTAGCATATGGAAATGGGCAAAGCTGGTGCGTATCCTAGCAGAGATATACAATTTAATTCAGGAGATGCAAACAGCACTCTCTAAATGAACATGCCTTTCTCAAATAATTGTGTTTGGTTACACAATTTCGGCAGGATTTCTAAAAAGATATTGTTGTCTTGTCTGGAGGTAGAGGTCTGGTAAAAAAGTGAAAACATAATTAAAAAGCTGTTATCAATGGTTCTGGTGTTCAAAATCCTGCTTAACAACTTTAGAATGTTAACGATTATCCTCACAACCAAATGTCCAGAGTCTCATGTAAATTATACAAAAAATAAATAAGAAGAAAGAAAATAGAAAATAAAAAACTAAGTTGTATTTAAGAACAACAGTACGTCCTATGGATAGTTGTTGACACTCTCTCCAAGAGTGTTAAAGTAGAAGGATAGTTACCATGGAAACATCACATTGAGAAATTGGCTTTGCTCTAGTCCTACTGTGCAGCAATATCGTTTTAAATTTTTACAGGAACATTGTTTTAAATCCCCTTAAAAACTACAACATATTAAATAACTAACAATATACCTCAACTTTGTTTTCTTGTGTTTTTAGTTGTTTTAATATATAGAGATTTTTATATAAATATTAGGTAATACTTATATGAGCTACTGTACCACATGTGCATTTAGGCAACTCAAAATGAACACATCTCATGTAACAGACTGCTTATTAGGGAAAGTGATCTCTTATTTCACTTTCATTGTATCCATGAAAAATATAAAGATTTGATTATTCCTTATTATTATGCAAGCAACACCTTTTTCATGGACAGTTTCTCACACTGTAGATTAATGCATGCTTAAGACTTACAGTATGTAAGGGGCAATAAGAGAGACACTGAACTTTCTATCCCTTCCATTTTCTGA